TATATACAAATGATCTTCAGGGGTGTTATATAGTTGACATGAGACGGCACGAAAAAAACAGTTCCCATCTCCTAATACATTGACTGGAATTCTACCAAGTTCAAATAATCCGGATTCCAAGAATGAAACTGAAGACAAATTCTTGTCAGTATTTATTTGACTGTGAGGCCCAGGATTCTTCTCTATGTCACCACTTAATGATGTTACTCGAGGAGCTACCCATAGCATCTGTACAATAGAGAACTGCAATTTCTTTAAACCTTTTTCATCAGTATAAACACATGCAACAGATTTTTTGTGCTTTCGCGTTCTTGTTTGAACGAAAAGCAAAAAGGAACGTTCTTTGTTTGTAAAGCAATGATATCTAGAGTGATAATATATTTTATCAAAGTTTAACCTCTGTTTTCTCACTGATTTATGCTTATGATAACAAATCGCGAAGAATTCACTATTTAACCTATGGAACACACTGCCTTTTCTGCTTAAGAGTGGTCGTCTGTAAAAATCAAGCAGTTGTTGAAAATAAAAAAATTGACATATTTTCTAGCTTTCCCAGAACATAGCTATGAATGGCCTTAGTTACGGAAAAATATCAAAAATGCCGAAAAAAAATTGATTTTGGGAGAACGGTGGCATTTTGTGTTTTGGGGGATCGTAACCGTGTTTTCCCAGTGAAATAGTACACCTCAAAATAACGGCCGAGAAAAATTTACTTCGCCAGCAATTCGGAAACCACATAACACTTCTAAAACAAGAGATTTTTTAAAAGGTTCTGAAGTATTTTTTTAAGATTCCTTAAAAAACGATTTTTTTTACGAATTTTCTAAGTCAGGTAAAATTTCCCCCATCAAAACATAGCTCAACTTTGGCGATTAAAATCGGCCATGATACATGGGTCCATAAACTGAGACAATAACCATTGTCAAGAACAAGGTTTCTTGTTTCAGAAACTGCAATAAAATTTTTAGGCTACTTAAAGGTCCGGTAATACGGGCAACATTTTTCTTCAACTTGTCTTGCAACATTGTTGCATTGCAAGTTGAAACCCTTTGTTGCGAGTACTACCACGTTCGTGACCAACTTGTCTCGCAACAAAATATAGTGTTGCAAATTCGCGGAATCCTGCGCGTATGATTGGTCAGTCGCACGTAAACAAAGATGGCGGCTGCTGAACTTTTTCTATGTCGGAAGAGAGCGCTTTCAGCTCTCTGTTTGGGCCTTTTGCTCGGTGAGGACGAGGAAAGGCCTCGAAAACGAAATCGGAAAATTTACATGCGACAATGGATTTCCCGGAGAGAGGAGAGAGGCGTTTTTCACCAGGTAATTAGAGAGCTTGAAGTGGGGGATGTCGTGGCGTACAAAGAGTTTTTCCGTATGACGATGGAGCAATTTTCCTCTCTGTTGGGAAAAGTATTCCCGCTGATCCAAAAGAAAGAGCAGCCATCATCCATCAATTCTGTCCGGGGAACAATACAGCCAGATGAACGCCTAGCTGTAACGCTACGGTATTTGGCAACGGGAGAAACTTATCATTCCCTCGAGTATTCGTTCCGAATTTCACGCCAAACAATTTCTTCAATCGTGTCAGAAACAAGCCGTGCCCTGTACAAGGTAAGCAGGTCTTGAAATCGTTGATTTATTTATATAACAGCGTCGAAATTAACATACTTGACATACATTTTAATTTCCTATACTACAGGTATTTGCTCCAGAATATCTAAAAGTAACAAACACAGAAAGTGAGTGGGACGCAGTGGCAGACAAATTCGAGGGAAGATGGAATTTTCCGAATGGTATCGGCGCTATAGACGGAAAACGTGTCATAGTTCAGCAGCCATCTAATTCTGGCTCTCATTATTACGATTACAAAGGGAACAACAGCATTTTTCTCCTTGCTGTGTTTGGGCCTGACTACCAGTGCCTTTGGGCGAGTGCTGGAACAAATGGTCGTTCGCCAGACTCTGCCATATGGCAAAGTTGTGACCTGAAAAAGGCACTGAGTTTAAGTCACAACACTTGGAATTTGCCAAAACCTAGACCCTTGCCAGAGAGGGCAATGCCAGTACCATAGGTCCTAACAGGAGAAGATGCCTTTGCCTTGACAAGATTTATGATGAAGCCTTCCCGCTGACAGCATTGTCAAGAGCACAGCGGATTTTCAATTACAGGTTGTCACGCATGCGGAGAATCTCAGAAAATTGTCTTGGTATCATCGCGAACAGATGGATGGTGTTTCGTGCTCCAATTCTCTTGCCTCCGGACACAGTCGTCGACTTGATTTTGGTAGCACTAGTGCTGCATAATTTTCTAAGGTAGAGCTATAAAATCATGTGCTAAAAACCATTATTCCTTCGTTGTGAATATCGGTAGCTAAAAAATGAAAACAACTTAATGCTACCCAAAATAGCATTTATAAGCAGTGTATCAGTTTGCATTCATGTACTGTACCTAAAAGCAATAAGTACTACACCTAAAAACAATATGTAGTTTTTCTAGATGACCAGTATATAACAAGCTTTAAATGAAAGCCGCGACTCCACTGTATTAATCTGATGCAAAAAAGGGATTTTACTTGCACTTGGTGGCATCAAATCTCTTGCCATGCAGACATTCAATTCAATCAAGACCCAATCATGCTGACTTCATCCTTGTGCAGTCTGGTTTTATCACACACCCATTTTCGTTATTTCTTAAAAGCCTGCATTAACACGATTATCATTCCCTGCTAGCAGAGGCTCTTTTCCAGGAAAAAAGTCTCTACTAGCAGGGAAGATCATCGGATTTAGTTGATAAGCAAAGAATCATGAGTGCTCACTTACCTAACTATATCCTGGGGGGTACTCAAAGTATACATGAAGGAGGGGTCTGACTTTTTTGGGGTGTTGAAAGTTTACATTTTCAGTATTTTTGTTGGGTGAAGACAACTGTCACGTAATTTTTTAGGTCTTAAAAAAATGTGTATTTTTTTGGGTCACATCTCCACGCGAACTTTTCGTTACGATCAGTGGATCACAATAATATTTGTTCAAACTTTTTTTCAGCGACATTAGCAGACCTACCAATTTAATTAGCCTATTGATGCATAACCATGGATTAAATAGTTCTGTTTGAATGAATAAATCAGTATTGAGGTATTTAAGTCTGGTATTTTTTGGGATAGGATACTTTGATGCCAGGTATTTTTTGGGGTGTAAAATTTCAGTGTCATGTATTTTTTGGCTTTGCAACATGAAGCTTTATAGACCCCTTTCAGGTATGACGTCATGACATGTAACCTAGCGAACTGGAGGCACGTAAATCCATGGCAGTCTCCATATAGACTCCCGGTTACCCCTGTGTACCCATGTATACTGTTATGTTACCTATGTTACCCATGTACACCTGTATACCCTGTGTACCCATGTATACCCTGTGTACCCATGTATACCCTGTGTACCCATGTATACCCTGAGTACCCTGTGTACCCATGTATCCCATGTATACCCATATATACCCTGTGTACCCATGTATACCCTGTGAACCCTGTGCACCCATGTATACCCTGTGTACCCTGTATACCCTGTGTACCCCGTGTACCCCGTATACCCTGTGACCCTGTATACAGTGTGTACCCTGTGTACCCATGTATACCCTTGTGTACCCATGTGTACCCTGTGTACCCTGTATACCCTGTGTACCCCGTGTACCGTGTGTACCGTGTGTACCCTGTATACCCTGTGTACCCTTTGTACCCTGTGTACCCATGTATACCCTTTGTACCCATGTATATCATGTATACCCTTGTATACCTTGTATACCCTTGTATACCTCAAATACCCTTGTATACCTCGTATACCCTGTCTACCTTGTATACCCTGTACACCCTGTATATTCATGTATACCCAAGTATACCCTGTATACCATGTATACAGGAAACCTGGCAAACATCAGTTGGAATGAATGGAAGCTCTCTGGCCG